GCCTCATCCGGTGCCCTCCCGCGCGGCTGCTCCTGCTGCTGCTGTTCGCCTTTTGCTCAACAGTAGCCTTTTGCTTCAACAGCCTCTCCTTGTAGCTAGCCGTCCCCGGTCCGACCCTCCTCCCAATCACCCCGATTACCATCTCGCCCCACCCCGCACGGTACCCCATAAGCGATCCCGACGTCTCCCTTTCAAACCCCGTCTCAACCATTGCTGTCGATCATCGTTTCCTCCCTCGACAACGATCTTACCCCTGCCAACCATCACACTGCGCAATGCAGTCCCCAGCTCTCGTGCCTGGGGTCCTCTGCAATGGCTCTCGCCCACACCTACGGCACGGTATGCTCGCGCGTTCCAGTCCGCCCCTCCTCATTACGTTCTACCAATGCCTTCACACCCTCCGCGCTCTCGCCCTCGCTCACATCCCCACCTACCCTTGCGCGTATCCACCATCATCGCCCTCTCTCTCAGATTCTCCCGCATCCTCCATCTCTGACTATGCTTTCGCTCTCGTCCGCATTCTCCATCCCCGATTATGATGTCACTCTCGCCCGCATATTCCATATTCGTCTATGCTCTTGCTCTCGCCAGCGTCTTCCATCCGCGGCCACGCTGACGTTCTCACCTCTATTCTCCATCCCCGATCAAGTTCTCGCTCTCGCGCGTATCCTCCCTTCCCCTCTCCGCTCTTTCCGTCTCTCTCATCGTGATTCTCCATCCCCACCCATGCTCCCGTTCTTGCCTGCATCCTCCATCCCCAACCATGCTCTCGCCAGCGCCTTCCATCCCCGCCCATGCTTTCCGTTTCGTCTGCATTCTTCATTCCCGCCCATACTCTCACTCGCGCATTCATCCTCCATCTCCTCCCACGCCCTTGCTCTTACCAGCGTCTTCCATCCCAGCCCATGCCCTCGCTTTCGCTCCCAATCCTCCGTCCCCTTCCTCTCCCCCACATTCTCTATCCACGACCGTGATCTCACCCTCGCTCGTGCTCTCGCCCTCGTCCTCTCCTTCCCCCACGATCGTCACCTTCGCACCGCCAGTCTCCACTTACTCCAAATTCAATGCAGGGCGGAGATTCCCTCGGCCGCCACTGGCTTCACTCAATACTCTGTTTGGTCTTGGGTGTTGATCTTTCATTTGTATTGTATAGTTATATACCTACGATGTCATATTGTACTCACGGACTACTGTACCCTCCAAATTATCTTCGACGGATGTGTCTTCTTTACAATCCACACAGAAAGACACAAGAAGGATTCAAAATTTCTGGAATAGGCTAAATACTCGTAAAAGAAATAAGCTTATTTTTTACATATCAACAGATAATTTTATAGATCGTTTGTTTTTCTTTCACTTTCATATATACTGGTGAATACATTTTATTTCCAATGTGGTAAAAGTATTGTAAAGATTGTGTTCCAGTTCTTTTGAAAATGGGCTTCTCCCATTTATTTCCCTTATCTTTTAATTGTTATTAACGATGATTTCAATTCTAACGGTCGGTAGAATACAGTAGTGTTCGAAATTGTACAAATAGTTCACTGAAGCTCTCAAAATGGAATGTTCAAGCCGAATGATTCTAGAAATGATTATTAAGAAGATGGAACTAGACATTGTATTCAAAATGCTGTTTAAAGCATTGTATGCAATATGTGAAAGAAAACCACTACAACAGATTACTTACGCTATAGCAGTAAAAGCTGTGACGTATTCTTATGTATCACCTTAAGTCACTCATTACCACTCTACGAGTTACCAAAGCTGAATTTGCTATCCATTTGGCGTATTTGGCCATATCCCTAACTTGCAAGCTCTTGATGGCACCATCTTCCATAAGATTTTAGTTTCCTCATTCCCGAAGGTGGTGATGCATCACCATTGTTTGTACACTAACTGTCAATTTGCAACGCCTCCTAATTGTTTTTGTTTACTTGTTGATGTTATTGTTGCACTATTCCCGTTCTAATTTGCATGCCAAAACACTGCCTTCTAGCTTTAAGTTACTTGTTTACACATGTTGTTTAGCAATTTTCTGTAATTACTCAAAATACTTGTAAAACCGTAATTTCAAACTTATTAATTTCAACTTTACTTTCCCCGCATTTAGTTACTCTTATGCCCTTACATCAACACCGTTACAATTAACAAAATACATGCTGACACCACAATCTCTATCTTCTCTTTCACCTTCTCATTCTCCTAGTCCTTCTCCTCCTTTATTCCCGTCATCTCCACCGCAGCTTCCAACAACGTCGTCACCGCCGCCACTGCAGCGACAAATTCAAACTTCGGCGAAGGCTTAATATTAATAACGTTTGGTTAGCTTCAACCCACAACAGCACGGCGAAGATGGGATTATTCAAAATGAATTAACCTTCTACTTTGCTCATTAGTTCCTCCATTATTAATCGTGGCTCGACATGCTGTTCGCCGCCCGCGGAGACGGGGCGAAAAAGTGCTGGCGTTCTCTGCAGGCTGCCTGCGTAGGCACCGCGCCTTTCTCAGACCCCTCTGCGCGGCGGCCAGGCTGCAAGAAAGCCCCGGCGGGAGGAAGAAAGAAAGCGAGGAAAAACGCCCTGACTCTGCAAAGCACGTGCTGCGAAGCAATGTCTGGATGATCCGGAAGTTTCCACGAAACGTCGGGCGGAAGACGTCACTAAAACAAAATTGTAAAAGTCAAATTGACGATGTCAAGTTTTCAATTGAAGTGTAGTAAGTTGAGTAGTCAACAGTCTTTTCTAGTCAACAAATTTACTTACTGTTCTCATGTATGAACATGTAAATAAACGTTTAGTGAAAAAATTTATAGTAAGTACGTAAATAGAAGACTATCAGCCTGACCAAAGAAATGTTCATGGATTCAACGATGTTTAGTCATTTTGAAACCAACATATTTTTATTTATCTTCAAAACACCACGGCAGAGACAAAAAAAAGCAGAGAGGAAAACTTCTGGCTTTGTAAGCTCGTGCGGTGAAGTAATGTCTTGATGTTCTGGAAGTTTCGACAAAACGTGGGATGAAAGAGGTCACTAAAACAAAATTGCAAATGTCAAATTGGCGATGTCAAGTTTTCTTTTCAAGTCCTATGTATGTAGATGCGATGTTTTCATTGCTCGGTAAATCTTATGACCTGAAAGATATCCCGTACATTTTTTTAACGATCAAGTTCATTTCTAAGGATATTGACTAGGAAATTGCACACTGGCTCTGGAGCGTTGTGGAACTAGTGGAACCGATAATGCTCCGCTATTGCAATGAATTACACTTCACATTCTATTGGTCACGTGATTGTTAATAACGTTTTACGCTACACCCTGCAAACATTTCAGTAGACGAAAGACTTTCTGCGAGTGGGGTTCCGCCTTTCTCTCCGTGTCTTTCCGTCCCCCCCTCTCCCTCTTCCTCGCTCGCTCGCTTGCTCTCTCTGCGTCTCTGTCTTCCTCTGTCTCTCTCTGTATCTCCCTCTCTCGGGAGAAATTTAACTATTCCAGAGGCAGAAAACGCAATGAAGACGTCTTAATAGTCGCACTTCAGTGTGCAGCGAGATGCATAGAGAGCGCAGCGTGGCGTAAAGTGCCCTGATTAAGGCCCTTGACTCTACATAAAATCATCATCAACGCACGTCTATGTGCGCAGTCATGCGCACATTGCCATCGTACTACGCATATATTTTTCCCGGAAGTGCAAGCAATAAGTTGACAAAGATTTATCGCAATCGGATGAACGGTATGGCAGCGCATTAAGCACGAAACAAAAACAAACAAACGTTCTCTTTTATATGCTCTATACACTATGGTTCTTCGCTTGGAAAGGAGTTTGACTTTTGACCTCAAGCAAATTTTGTGAATTTTCTTGAAAGCTATCGGATGTTTCAGAATAATTGTTACAAACACTTAAGGGATGTAGAGGGGTAGAAGATGATCGCATTTTGCCAACAAACTTGTGGTGGAAAATTTCTTATAATGAAGTTACACGTCTGACATATGACTCGGCTTGCTTGTAAACTTCGTTTAATGAAATTCTCAAATACAAGTTCATTGCAAAAAAGTTCTTATCTTGTACCCCGTTGCAAGCTGTAGAAGTTTGTAATAACTATTCTGAAAGACGCTGTATAAATACCCGGGTTAAGAACATTAATCCGTTAACTTGTTACAAGAAAGAAAAAAAAACAATTAAAATTTTTTACACCACAAAGAAACTGTTATCTATCTTTACGAATCGAATTTCACACACATGCTCATGTAAGAGCATGATTAATTATAATTTAAATATGTTCGAACTATAAGATATATGTGCATTACAGTCTTTTGAAAAGTATCCTTCGGAATTTCGAAACATTCTCATATTCTCTATAAAGATTTAAATTTGATCCCTGAAGCCGAACACAGTTCACATCGCATGACAGTTTATTGACCCTATGGTAGATAGTGCGTGTGGACTAATTGTTTCTTTCGTCATCAACATCTGCAGTTGAGGCCTGTTTGTCCCTTCCCTCTTCTGAAGCAATTATTCCATTGTCATCAGGGCCTATAATATTAGAACGGATTTCTTGAAACTACTAACCATTATTTTAACCTTTGTTTTTAACCATACTTATACCAACCATCAATTGCGATGATTAGCAATATTTTTTTTATTTTACTCTCTACCATTACCATCATTATAATATCATCATTTTCACACAATTACTATTATCTAACATTATTTTACTTGCCATGTAATTCTCAATTTGATTGCGGCGTATATTTAAAAAAAAATTATACAAAAATATCTGATTAAACTGGAAATAGAATTTAAAATGTGTGGATTTGTGCTTCAGTAGGCATTTTGACAAATGAAACACCTTCGACACTCGCTGTGTCTGAAAATGAAATGGGAGATGGCACGGTTGTGCTGTCTGACCCAAATTTTATAGGCCCCCAGTGACCTCTCTTAACGAGAAGCAACAAGACCAGATTGGGGCCGAGTTAACTTACCGAGTTGAATCTCGGCTGTACCCTGTTTTTAGCCATCACATCACACAGCCTTGTTTCTAAATAGAGAATCTCGGGAAAGAAAACGGAATGCTAAAGCGAGTTTCTTCCAACTTCATAGTCAAAGTTTGGTTAGGAAGAGGGATCTGGAGAAAGCAGTGCCGGGGCTAGATAATTTTGGGCCCGGGCAATGGTGCAACATGGCCATCCCTTTTAAAAATGTGAAAAAGAATTATTTTATTTCAGCGGCCGATATCTGCATTACACACAAACTCATATATATAATTTTGCAAAATTGTTCGTAAAATATCTTGAATGTTAAAAGGAGAAAATTTGAAGGCTTAAAAGGCTTCCAATGAGAGCATTGTTTTGTGACATTTTCTGGATTGCCTGACATTTTTCAATTCAGAGTCCTACCTAATAAGCGATGACTGTAATTAACTATTTACGGTAAAAAATTAATTGAAACTTATATGAAATATTAGCCTACTGTTCCGTGACTTATAAAATTAAGACAACCATTTTCTCGATTTCTAATTTCTTTTTCAATTTTTTTTACAATTTTTCCCCATGAGTTCCATCATCGGGCTCCTTGAATTGCGGTGCCCCAGGCGCGGGCTTCCCATGCTTAGCGCTGGCACTGGGAGACAGAAGCTGAAACAAAACTATTACTAAGTAATATTAATTGAAGTAACCCGGATTGGTCAGGATGTTTCTATAACATCACTTAAAAAACAGAAAAGTGAGTGAATTCTTTCAATAATATAAAATGGAGTAATTTCATCTAACACCACCGATATCCCCTCTCCACCTTGTTACGGTCTACCGAGCTACGGTCACGGCATC